AGCGTCTTGGACAAGGTTCCTGAAAAGAAAACATTGAGAAGTTTTATGGCCCAGAAAATTATGATATTTGCAAAAACCTCTCTTCTTTCTTTGATCAAGAGGAGGCACTTTTACCCCAGGGGGTACTATCATTTGGCCATCTTTAACTAGCAAGTCGAATATTTCATCACATTTTGTGATGTCAAAACTGTAAGTCTTTTTTGGGAATCTATCGTTGGTCTTGTCTGGACCAATGGGATTTTTCCCATTTGAGGGGACTAACTGTTTACAAGAGTATGGAGGTCCTTGTTTTAGTTCTGCTAAATCGACTTCTCCTTCTTCGACAGCTAAAGTATCGTCGAAGGATTCTAGCTCTTCGTCATCCATCTCAACGTAAGCTATTCGCTCTCTCTTGTGAGTTTTCGTTGCCTTAGCTTTTTCAGCTTTAAGGCGTTCGACTTGTCGAACTCTATCGGCCAGTTGGGCCATGTCTCTTAGGTACTGGGTATCTAGCTTCTTCCTAATGGAATAATCTAAACCACCTGCGGCCATTTCGACCAGCTCATGTTCTGGCACTTGTGTAAAACATCTCGCCTTAAGCAACCTAAACCTATTCAGATATTCGTCTATAGGTTCAGTGAAACGTCTCTTAACACTCGCCAGTTCTTTCAGGCTTATCTTGGTTTGCCCCATATAGAATTGTTCATGGAACAATCTTTCCAACTGGGTCCAATGGTGGATCGAATTGGGGGGTAGAGTTGTAAACCAAGTAAAAGCGTTCTTGGTTAAGGAACTTGGGAAGTATTTGATCCTTAGGTTTTCATTATTTGAAATGTCTCCTGCTTCGATCAAATACCTAGCCACATGTTCGACAGTAGATTCTGTCGTGTCCCCAGAGAACTTAGTAAATTTGGGGACTTTGGTTCTAGGGGGTAAGTCAGTTTGTAACACATATTCTGACAATGGAGATGTAAAGTTGGGCCTTCGAAAGCCCATGTTCATTCCATTCTGAGTCATGATCCTTTCGATCATGGTTGCCAGATTGTTTTCCAACCCCATGTTTTGGTATTGGACATGCTGAACCACTTCGTCAGCATTTTGGTTTCTGTTAACTAACCTAACCTCTGGGGCTATTACCCTAGGTTCTTCGACAGGTTGTTCTACAGGCTGTTGGGCCTGATTAATGGTGGTTTCCTCCTCTACAAATATCCCCTGATTTCCTCTTATTTGCGCCCTTTGGGGCTGTCGAAGAGGTGGGGGTACTCCAAAGAAATCAGCCAAACGCGTCATTTGCGCTGTAACTTGCTGATTCGACTGAGTAGTATTTTGTATTAGAGGATTTAGCACAGTACTCAAAGTTTGTGCCAACATTTGCACCATATCATGGTTGCTTTCGTCCATCTGTTGCCTCAAGACTGCTGTCGAGGCATTTGTAAGGCCATGGGCTACTTGGGACGTTCCTCCTAAGAGTTGGGTCCTATTTCTATTCGCCATGCCTACTCCAGAGCCTTGGAGTGGCGAAGTGGCACTCACGAAAGGGTCTGAATAAGTGGACGCAGCATTCGTCAGGCTTGCCAATTCAGAAGTTGGCATACCATAGAATGGAATAAATCCTGGGGGAACCACTGGCCTTGGGCCAGTATTTCCCCTTGGAGGGGGGGTTCCCAAAGTCATTCTGGGGCCTGCAAACGAAGTTGTTGGCCCCGTGGTTGTGACTGACACTGCTGGCATCGAACCAGCATTCGTCGCTTCACTCACGGCCATATTAACCGTTGTTCCCACACTCGTTTGTGGGATTTCATTGTTGTTTGGCGGATTCGCCATCTCTTCCCTTCTTCTGGCAGTATTATTATCGTTGGTGTATATTCTACCACTCCTTAATAACATACAACTCGAAAAGATGAGATTTTTCAACAATCAACACACAGTCCCACCGGGTGTGCCAATTTGTTTACCTATAGTTTTGGTAAACAACCGCTGATCCTCCAAATGGTTACTTATTTGGTTACTTGCAGGATCGATCAGATTGATCCTATGGACATAGGTTGATTTTGAAGTTTAATTAATGTGGATAAGGCTTTAAGTAAATTGTTTAAAGTAAATTGCATAAAGGAAAAGGCTTGGTAAAATAAGCAAGGCTGGAATGTAAAGGTTCGACAGGAATCTTAAAGGGAAAAGCATGTAAAATACTGGAAAAGTAAATGACTTGAATTGATTAAATTGGTGTTTCACACATACATTTCTCAACAATTCGTTCGCTCACACTGGGTACTTGAATCTAAATGAGTGACTATGTATCTATTGTGAACACCCGCGAGAAACTACACGTCTACTCCTATTTATACAAAAACACTCCAAGTAACCGTCGGGCAGTTACACTGCTTCGAGATCAAGCCACTTGTCACGTTCTCCATGCTCGACGCTCCAGATCCTTGCACGTTCGCACGTAGTAACTGCTGGAAACCGTTTTCCCTCCAAAGCTTTGAATTTCAAACTGCTCCACTCTGGACCATCGAACACGTTCGTCAAGAGACGTCTTCGACGAAAACTACTTCGACGTCGAAGGCAATCAGCCTTCTTCCTTGGAAGAAATCTTCTAAGTATTTGACCATCTTCCGACGGGCACTTCGACAGGCTTAGCCAGTCGAAAGCATCTTTCAGCTTTTAATGGCTGTCATCAATCAAAACAAAGGTGTCGAATTTAGGAGCCAACAGAAACAACTAAGACTTCATCTTTCTGATCTTGTCTTCGAGCTTCCTCTTCAATTCGGAGGCGAGTAATCAAACTTTCGATTGAAAACTCTTTGGTTTTATGGCGAAGCATATTTTTGAAATCTTTCCAACCAGGGGGCAGTTTGTCAATAATAACAGCAATTTGAAATTGTTCATTCAGGGGCATACCTTCAGTTATGATTTCATGAGCAATTTTCTGAATTTCGTGGCTTTGAGTTTCCACAGACTTTTCATCCACCATATTGTAATTCAAGTAGCGGCTGACAGCATATTTCTTTGCACCTGCTTCTTCAGTATCATATTTCTTCTGCAGAGCTTCCCACACTTCTTTAGCACTGTTGTAATTACTGTAGTAATCGTACAGGTCATCAGCAAGACCGTTCAGAATGTGATTTTTGCATAGGTAGTCATTCTCTTGCCATATGGCAATTTCTTTTCGAAGCTGTAAATCATCTGCTGCGGCTTTGGCTTTTGCAGCAGCTTGTGCTTCAGCAGAGCTGGGAGCTTTGTCAGAAGTTACAATTGTTGCAGCATCAGTTTGTTCGGTTGATCCAGAAGGAACAACAGGGATATCCTCAGTCAGAACGTGGGCACACTTCTTGATAGTTAAGAAAAATTTCATCTTAGCTTGCCAACGTTTGAAATGAGAACCCTCAAACTTAAATGGTTTGTCAGTGACAGCAGCGACCGCATTATTACCGATAATTTCCTCAGTAGCCATGGCAGTTAAGGCGAACGTCTTAAAATTGTTGACCACGGATTAGTGAAAACAAGAATAGCCACTGAGAATTTTATCGGGTCGAGTCGCGGTTCAGTACGCTTTCTTTAAGACGTTTCGCCGGATGCCAACAAAGTGCAAGGCAGTCGATAATAGGCGACGTCTCGAGGATAAAACAGCCCGTTCGAATAAAATACGATTATCACTTGCACTGTGATAAATCGTTCGATGAATAACACCTTCTGATGGTGTAGAAACCACTCGTAGTATCTGGCAAGAAGCAGTCGAAAAAACAGAAAAGGCAGAGTAGAGAGAGAGAAGAGAGAATTCGAGAGATGGAATTCTGGAGTTATTTGCAAATGAAATAAGCACGGATCCAACAAAACGGTTCGAAATAGTAGGAAGAACGTGGGAGAGGGTGGAATTGGCCCAGTCAAAAGTGACCGTTATTGCTTGGTCAGACAGTCATGCAGTCATGCGTTTTGACTCTTGGAAGGCAAGTAATTGACACGTCACTAATTCCGTAATTAATTAATATTAAATATTAATTAATTTCCACTATTTTTAATTAATTAATGCTAATTAATTCCACCGAATTAATTAATTATTAATAATCATTAATAATTAATTTTTCACCAAAATCCGGTTCAAAAAGTTAATTCATCTAGACCGAACCGAACCGAACCGAACCGAGCCGGTCGGACGGACGGACGGCGGCGGCGGCGCACGCGCGTGTGTGTCTAGATGACTTAGTGGTGTGTCCTCACTCCTTAACAAAATTGGGGTGCCCCTTGGGGCCCAACCCAAGTGTCCAAGTTGGAGTATTTATGCACTACTAGAAGTTGTGTTCCCTCCAATGTGGGACTAAAATGAATCCTTTCAAATTCACTCACAAACTAGTTCATTCATGTGCTCATTTATTGCCCATTTAATGTCAATGAATCATTCCAATTCCCAATCCAAGTTATCATCATTCCAAGATTTCCAACAGGACAAAGAGAGACGAAGAAGAGGACAATCTGAAAAAATGATTGTTAGACATAATCTTGAGTATTTCTTGATGAAATCTTAGAGCGATCTCTCTTATTCTTTCTTTTTTGAATTGAACATCTCCTCTCATATAAAAATTAGGATTAAATGAACTTCAATTAAATTTATCTTTAAAACTTAAGAGCATTTACGAAACATGTCTTTATAAGAGATGCAAATCAAATATTTTGAGAGACAAAAAAACCAAATATTTTGTATTTTTAAAGTTAAAAAAAAATCATATTAAACCCTAAAATTTTCATTTGATATAAATCTTTTACTTAATTATTATCTTTTAATCCTTCATAATACATCAAACAAATTTACATCTATACTAGCAAATTAAATTACCCCACTAGTATAACTAAGTTCAAAATAATTTTAAAAATGAAGGATTTTCTTTAGAGGTTTGAGTAAAACATTAATTTCTTTTACATTAATTTATTATCTTTTTCATAATGTTGGCTGGTAATAACGCAGAAGAGATAAGAGAAGAAACCAAGAACACATTTCGTGTGGCGAGTTTTCAAAACAACAAACAATGGCATCATCAACGTTATCTTCTCTCTCCTCAACCTTTTCACTACCGTTGCATCACAGTTTATCCGCAAACTTGAAAACTTGTTCTCAATTTCCCAACAAAACTTCGGGTTTTATGGTTTTTGCTCAAAAGAAAACAAAGAAAACTCGAAAGGTTAATTGCATATACATTACTTGAATTTTCTATGTTGTGATGTGTTTATGAATTGTATTTACTTGTTTTTTTGTTGCTGTTTTGTGAAATTAGATAATACTAAAGGAAGATATGGTTAATATTGGAAAGAAAGGGCAACTTCTTGATGTGAGGGCTGGGTTTTTCAGAAATTTCCTCTTTCCAACTGGCAAGGCTCAACTTGTAACTCCTGATATACTCAAGTAATGTTCTATTATTGCAATTAGGTTACTTTGGACAAGTTACTAGAAGCATCGACACAGACACACATATATCCTATTTCCTCGGGTTATATTTATAAGAAAAAATTTACTTTTAAATTCACTGAATAACTAAGATTCACTGAATAACTAATGTATCTGATATATAGAATACCTAATGTATCTGGTGCATAGAATTTTAAGAAAATTGATCTATTGAATTCAACACATGTGTAAGTGTTGAACATTGGTGTGTTTCAGACACCTGGCACAAGCGTCCAGAGTTGTGTTAGTGTTGAACATTGGAACATATCAGACACCTGGCACGAACGTGGGCAATTGTGTTAGTGTTGAGCATTGGATGTATCAGACACCTGACACGAACATCAAGAGTTGTGTTAGTGTTGAACATTGGCGTGTATCAGATACCTGCACGAACATCGACACTGACACATATACACTAGTATTTTAAACATATTAGTCAAATTTTGAATTGTGTTTCCCTTGTATTGTCTTTAGATCTTTTTCATTTAAACTTTCTCTTTCCAGGGAAATGAAGATAGAAGAAGAAAGAATTGAGGCTGAGAAACAACGGGTAACTTTTCGTTGTCCCGGTATCATTTCTTTGGTCTTCTGGTAATAATAATAATATGCAGTGGAATTTCATGATAAGTGAAAATTGAGTAAGATAGTTAAAGAGAAAAAGAATGTTAATACGTTCTACTGCTAAGTTCTAAATAACTTTCCATGAAGAGCTATAAGCTCTTAACAACGAGTTAATGCATAATGTGAATTTCTTTCAAAGGCTAATTTTGCATTTAATGTTTAATATCTGATTATGCGGCTTAGGAAATTTTACAACTACTTTTGTACTTGTGAATTTTTTCTGGAGTTTTTTCTCCTACATACATTTGAAGAGAAATAAGGCTATCTAATCTAAGTTAACACCTCTCTAGGTAAAAGAAGACGCACAGCAACTTGCTATAATTTTTGAATCTGTTGGGACTTTCAAGGTGAAGCGTAAAGGTGGTAAAGGAAAACAGATCTTCGGAAGGTAAAATATGGTCCTCATGATTACAAGATGTTGATTTGTGTGTGTATGGTTGTGGCTGATGTTTGCTTTCTTTTTAGTGTTACGGCTCAAGATCTTGTGGACATAATAAAGGCACAACTTCAAAGGTACTGTTCATCTTTCCGATGTACATCAATCTTTTCTTTGTGAGCATATGTTGTCAATAGCGCGCTATAGAAGAATGACATAACAGTGGTAGGGTTCGGCGCGAAGATTTTTCGCTGTGCGCTGCCGTCATCAATAGCATTTGTTGCGGCCTCTATTTGGGGCCCAAACAGCTATCATGTCTGTTATTAGGGTTTTAGTCTATACAATAGCGGCTGTCATGCTATCTGCTTTACTCCTAAAGCATTTTAGGAGGTCGGTGCTACACAGCACTACCTTGAATTAACAACATAAATATCAGCATTACAGATCTTTTTTTTATCGAGTTTTATCCTATAATAACATTCCAGTTTATGTATTTTCTTTCTTGTGTTTATACACTTAGTTTTTAAAGTTTGAGACGACAAAACACATTTCAGTATGGTATTTTTTTCCATCCAGCTATATGCTTAATGTAGTTTATTATTGTTTTTTAACTGACATTTCAGTTTTGAAGAAAGGTACCTGTTGATCTTTACTAGAATAATGAAATATTGTTCGGGATTGAGTTTCCGATATAATTTATTAATGCAAAATTGATAAAATATTAATAAGATCACCAAATATCTGAAATTTCATTTCATTTCATTTAGAGAATTCCTTTTATTTCGGACGAAATATGCGTAATGTTTAATGTGATACATTGGTTAAATCAGTTAATATTCAATGTGCGTTTTAGTATTAACTACTCTGTTATTTTACTCTTGCCTTTTAACCTTATAAACTCTCAGTACCATGGTCATCATCAATATATTACATTACATGTATGTCGTATCTCGATTGATTCGACACAAGCCTGAACCCACTCAACGTGAATCCCTAGTGCATATTGATTTTGGACTTGAGTTCTATCTGAAATCCTAGTTCATTATGATGAGTTCTGATTCACGATGATGAATCTCAATTCATTCTAATGATTCACTATTTGAAATTAGTGTAGCTAGTCATTTTTTTGTCAACTTTGTGTAGCGAGCCATTTTTCTTTTGTCGTTTGATTTAATCAATTCATTCTAATTGATTAATTGTCTCGTGATTTTGTGATTCGTTTCTAGGGAGGTGGACAAGAGAATTGTTGATCTTCCGGAGATCAGAGAAACAGGAGAATATATTGCAGAGTTAAAACTTCACCCAGATGTTACAGCTAAAGTGAAGGTGAATGTTATAGCTAACTAAGCAGCACTAAAATGTTTCAAAGTTCCATATGCTAAATGCACAATTGGGAGTCACAAACTTGCATAGCTTCAAGGTGCATAACAACCATCTTATGAACTATGATGAGAAATGTTCAGACTTAATTCAAGCACGACGTAGTAGTCTTGTGACTTTGGCCGAAGGCTCGGACGAGGAGGATGTGTAGGTTGTTTCTTATTTGAACATTTTGTTTTTTGGTATCTCCTTGAATGTGTATTCAATTTTCAGGACAATTTTTGTAATGTTCTTATTTATGATGGTAAAAGAGACATTTCTTGTCAGTTCATTAACATAACGAGGACAAGAAAAATGAACCTCTAGTTTTTCTAGTATGTCTTACTTCAATGATCAATTTCTATATAAACTTAAGTGTGAAAATCTTTGAAAGCAATATTTTTGGACTTTGTTACATATCAATAAACTTGCTTAAGATTAGTGAAAAAGAGAAAAATGGTTGAGATTAACATGGATTAACCACATGTGTTGAAACCAAGCTTTAAAATGCAGTAACATGTTCACTACGTTGGATGTTTTAAAACAAGAGAAACTAAAAAATAATCATTTTGTTGCTGCCCAGGATCGAACTGGAGACCTTCAGTGTGTAAGACTGACGTGATAACCACTACACCACAGCAACTATTGTTGAAAGGAAAGAATTTTAACGTATTATATAACTATATTTTAAAATTTGAGTGTGCAAAGTAATTATCTCGTTCAATCCATCTTTATCTCAAATTAAGTACACACTCCATAAAGTAATTTTTCAGAAAGGACTCTTACTACCACTAAAAGGATCATGCTATTGCTCAAAATAAGTATGAAATTGATTTTTATTTATACATATAGTAAATCCATTGTAATTGTCAACTATTTTGATAAGTGACTTTAATAATTTACTGTTTTATTTTTTTATTATATTAATTATTAATTTATAAATATTAAAATTTATTTACATTAATACATAAATATAAATAAATAACGTTGTCAGATATTGAACTTGTTTTTACCGACCTCAAGCGTAAGATCAGGGAGGTCCAATTTCCTTTATCATTTAAAAACTATAATTGGCAAAACAATGTACGGTTTCTCGATCCATAATTTTCTTCATCTCTATTACTCAAAGACTAACTAAGGCATTAGAGTGCTAACCTTGCAGGTCCATCCCGTGCAACCATGTTGATATTACTCAAATCACCTCGTGACTTTCCCAGAGCAATGTGCATCGTCACTATAGGGATTTGCATAAATAATTTTGGTTTTTATACAGAATAAGGACGCCGTTTGTGTGAATAAACTATTGATTCCTACAAATGTCCACAATTGGACTTTGAAATAGCTAGTCATCCAACTCAATCTAGTTTATGTTGATTCAATTAGATCTTTTTCGATTTCGATTCAAACATGATTATGTCCTTCTTCAACTTTCGCCATAGATAAGATCAGTAAAAATCCATCTATACAAACTAGATCTCTTCTCCTAGGATCTGACGAATTTACTACCTTAGGTGAGGAGCAAGGAGATGATAGAATAATCATGGGATTTAAAGACCATGAAAATGTGGATGGAGTTCTCAACGAAGTTCTTCCACTAATCGTTACTATTACCATCATTAATTATTTCGTCTTAGGGATCCTCGTAAGCGATGAAAGCTCCTGCAATGTACTATACTTCAAAATTTTCATCAAACTCTGTCTGACGAAATAATATTTGAAGTCATGCGAATGCTAAAGCCTACTTTCCTTTAACAACTCTTCTACTCGTCATTGTAGACACATGTACTTATCGATCACCTTGGGAGCAATGAGAAGCAGAAAATGGTGAAGGTTTGCTTCTTCGTGGTTCTATGCGACAATGTATACAACAATATTTTTGACCGACCATTTATAGCCAATTTAGATGTCGTAGCTTCCCCCGTGCGCATAAAATTAAAATACCATGATAACTTTGGCGCACCCACTACATTCAAAGTTGACATTCACAAAGCTCTCCAAATACAAAAGGTGATATTATAGAAGTCTGTAGGAACCACCATTGTCCCAAAAAAAGAGTGTCGATGAGGATAATGGGGTGAAAGATATAGTCGACTGGGCATGGCAACGCGGCGGGGCAGGGACGTTTTTTACCTCCTCCAAACCCAAACCCGAATCACCAAACAATTCACGTTCCTCACCTCAAACCCTAAAAGGGATGGAGAATTAAAATTCAAACCCGTCCCAAACAGGTTCGGGTATCCCTGCCTCACCACCATCCATTTAGTGAAATCAATTTTTAATATAAATATTTATGTTTTCCAAAATCAAATTACATTACAAATAATAAAGTAAAACAATATAAAAAATTCTACACATTTCAAATATTTTAAATAATAAATACAACATCAAAATATCAAAACATTTAACACATATTTAATATTCTAAATTATCAAAACTAAATAATAAAATACATAATTAAATAAATGAGAAATGTTCAGGGATGGTTTGGGACGGGTACTAGTGTCCCCATTGCCCGACCCGACCCCCATATTTTTTAATCAGGGATAACCCAACCCGAACCTAAACCTAGTAAAAGTGGGCAGGTTCGGTGAGTATCCGCAGACACGAGTTATGTTGACATGCCATTAGTTGACCTTGATTCTCGTGATGATGAAATCCCTTTGGGAGATGAATTATGACTCTCAATCGGGACTCAGAAAAAGATCTTAAGGTCGGTTCCAGATAAAAACTTCAAGACCGTCTTATTGGATGATAATCCGATGAGGTATGTAAAAGTAGAAGTTTGCCTACCTATCGAAGTAAAGGAATGATTGAAAACATGTTTCATAGTCAACATCAATCTCTTTGTCATTTCCCCTCATAAGATGCTAGGAATAAATCCTAGTGTGGTGTATCACCAGCTGAATGTTAACATTGGTGTCTGATATGTGTCGCAAAGACGGAGGTGGAAATCCACCAAGAAGGCATAGGCAGTGGCAAAGACCGTAAAAGGGTTACTAGACGCCAATTTCATCTCTGTATTGAATTACACTAACTGGTTATCCAATGTAGTTTTGGTCAAGAAGCCCCCTAAAAAGTGGATAATGTATGTTAACTACACCGATCTGAACAAAACATGCCCAAAGACTCATATACACTTTCAAGTATATATAGGTCGGTCGAAAACTCAACCAAGTATAAACTCTTTTTCTCATGGATGCATATTTCGACTATAATTAGATACCAATGTATGAGTTAGATTGTTTATGACTGAATAGGCGAACTACCAACACAACGTGATTCCTTTTGGTTTAAAAAATGAGTGAGAAACATATAAAGGATGGTGATAAGGTTTTCAAGGAATAAATAAGTGAAACATTGGAGGTATACATGAATGACATGATCATAAAATCAAGTTAAGAGGAACTGTATAACAAACACCTCTCCCAGTTTTTCTGAAGGGTCCGACAATACAACATGAAACTTAATTCAGAGAAGTGCATCTTCAAAGTAAGAGCCGACAAGTTTTTGGGCTTTTATCTGATAATAGATAGGGCATATAAGTGAATCCGGACAAATTTGAAAAGTTCATGCAGATGAAAACACCCACCACAAAGAAGGAAGTCATGAAACTAAACGGGGTGTTGACGACCTTGAATAGATTCATTTCTAATTCAGCATAACACACCTTCCCTTTCTACAAGTTGTTGAAGAAATAAGCCCAATTCTAATATACCCTTAAGTGTCAATAAGCATTCACTTCCATAAAGATGGAGCTGTCTACCCCATCAGCCCTATCTAATCCTACATTGGTGTGACCTATGTACCTTTACTTGACCATATATGAGGAGAAACATAGTGTCGTCTTAGTAAGAGAGCCGGATGATCAACAAAGATAAGATTATTTCATATCAAAAGCCTTGGCCGACCTAAAAGCACTATATCAAAAGATAGAAAAAAGAAGATCTAGCATTGGTGACGACATCTAGAAAGCTACAATACTATTTCCTGGCCCATACCATATTAGTCAGAACAAACTTGTCATTAAATAAGTTATCCATCAGCTAGATTTAGTTGATAGACTAACAACATGGTCCATTGAGATGTCAGAGTT